TACTAATGATATACATGACAAATGTACATAGTCTCTGGGAAATTATATATATTTTTATAATATATATAAAATCTGGGAAATTTTCCATATATATATATATATATATATATATATATATATATGGAAGGGAAATGCTAGCTCATGAGATAGGCAAATTGTAAATCTTAATAGAATGTGACAAACTATTTCAACATGATACTCTCATACTCTGCAAACAGTGTGGATGTTTCTAATATTGTACATTCTCAGTATTGGTTATCAGCCTTACCTTTTGAGATATGTGATTTTTCTCTGCATATCCCTGGAGACGAGTGAGGCTGGACATTTTTTTTTAATGCCGAATGCCATTTATTGAAGGAGGGAGGAGGTCTTAAATACAGGCTTACAGAACAATGGGAGGGCAAGGCCGGACATCTTTAAGAACGCTTATTTTACTGGGCATGTTGGTGCACACCTATATTCCCAGCACTCAAGAGATGGATCAGTAGTTCAAGGCCAGTCTCAATTCCATTGTGAGTTCAAATTGAGTCTAGGCTACATGGACCCTGTCTCCAAAAACAAAAGAAAGCTCTAAAGGTTGATGCACACCTTTAGTCCTGGCACTGGGGAGGCGGAGGCAAGTGGATTTCTTGTAGTTTGAGGCCAGCCTGGTCTACATAGTGAGTTTCAGGACAGCCAGGGTTGCATATGATACCTTATCTCAAGAAACAAACAAAAAATTTAAAAAGCTGTGAATTAGGGCTAGAAAGATGGTTTGGCGGTTAAGGACTAATGGAATTTTCCCTGGGACCAACCCTGAGAAGATTCCTCCCAGAGTCCTGGGGAATATGCTATGTCCGGCTTGGGGTTATCTGAGGGAAAAGAATCTATGTACACCGTACATAGATCTCTGTCCGTTTACTTTATTCTTCTATGACAAAATTGTATCTATACAGCTTCAGTTCCGTCCTGAGTCTCAGTTCCTCTCTGTACCTACTTCTCCTGATCCTCACAGCCCTAGTCATAACTAAGACCTTATGCCTTTGACTTCATCTTTGTCCTCTGTTCCTTCAACCTCCATCTTTCCTGGCTCTGAGAAAACTCTACAAGAGATCTATCTGCCTTACCATCTACAGAATCTCTGCCTTTCTCTTCTCTCCGGCCATGCAGCTCTGTCTACCATCTACAGAAAACTGCCTTGTTCTTCCTCTCCTCACCACACAACTCTGCTCCGGCCAGGAATCCTGCCCCACCCTTCACTCCGCCAGGATATGCAAAAACCTCCTTTGTTCTGAGTCAATAGCTCTGGAATACCATTTTCCTGTCTGGGGAGGGGAGGTCTGAGCTTCCTTTGCACAAGAAACAAAGCTATGCATCTACATCCTGCTTGTCTCTTAGGCCCTGAAGGGGTGTTAGTTACCTAGTGGATCTGCATCTGAGAATCTGTTTGCCAATATGGTCTAGCAGTATATAGGCCCACAAGAATTTCATAGCAGAAGACAGCTGAAATATTAAAAGCTAAATAACACCAAATGTTCCATGATAAATGACTTCCTCTAGAAAAATGCCTTGAAATTTCTAGGTATAGCCTTAATAAACAGCTGAATCTCTATATTATATTCTTGTGGCTCACAAGAAAGGACACTGGCTGCTCTTGCAGGATCCAGGTTCAATTCTAAGTACCCATGGGGTGACTCACAACTGTCTGTAATCCCAATTCCAAGGGATCTAACTCCCTCTTCTGGCCTCTGCAGGTAGGCACCAAGCATAAGGCAGATGTGATGCACAGACAAGCAGGCAAAACACCCATTCACACCTAAAAAAAGAAAAAGCGTGAAGAAAGCCCACTAATGGGCTTGTCATAAGGATTCACCCTAAGCCAGATCATGCTGCTGGAGTGTACAAGCACATGACAGATCACACAAGCAATCTAGTCCTCTTTATGGATCCGTCAATGGCATTTAAAAGTTCATTGGTGATCTAATTTCTATTTAAGAACCACACTGGCTGCTAGGTAGACTACAGGGTGGAAGTGGAAACCAGTTCATTGCCCATGGGTGCTGATGCTGAGCTGCCCAGTACTGGAAGATTTGGGAGACACCACATTCTAGATCTGTAGCTGAGAGCATATGCTGATGGACTGGGCTTCTGCAGGAAACCTCTTCAGAACTTTCTTGTGGTCCCTAGGATAATGCTCTCCCATACTGGATACTCTCCATCCTCTTTCCAGAATCTTCCTCGTTTCAGCAACATGTACACAGACATCCCTTCTCTAGCAAGGCAGTGTCAGCCAGCCCCAGAGCTCTCAAAATACACATCTCTGGCTAGCATCACCTTACTACATAGTGTACGCACCCACTGTGTGTTAGTAGGTATCTCATACTAAACACAGCCAAGCCTAGGCTGGCCACACTCATCCCCACCCCAGTAATGGCTGCTGCTGCTTGAGCTGTTGAAGGTACAGCCGGTTGAGTCCATATTCCCAGCTGTGTTGCTCTCACCCTATCGGCAAATCCTTTTACCTTGGTAAGGTGTTGTCATTTTATTTGGGCATTAAAATGTACCTGGAGCAGTGATTCTCAACCTTCCTAAAGTTGTGACCCCTTAATACAGTTCCTCATGTTGTGGTGACCCCAACCTTACAATTATTTTGTTGCTACTTCATAACTCTAACTTTGCTACCTTTACAATGTGGAGACTGTTAGTTACGCTGGCGTGCTGCTCCTCGTGGCTGGTCGCCGCCCGCAGCGGCCATGCCGGCAGAGGAGCGTGCTGATTGAAAGAATCACAGCCAAGGTTACCTTTTTAGAGCTTTATTGGGGGGGGGGGGGGAGGGGGAGAGAGAGAGAGAGAGAGAGAGAGAGAGAGAGAGAGAGAGGTGTTTGTAGAGGGGGGGCTGACAGGAGGAAGGAGTGCAAAGGAGAGGAGACAGAGAGCGCACAGAGGGCCCACCCGCTTTTTAGGCTGGGACGCCGCCGTTGAAGGCTGATGACGTAATTAAGGACCGAATCCTGACAGAGACCCACAGAGGTTTCCTAGTGAGAACTTACTCAGGGTCCGAGAATCTGGGCTTGCTTTACCCAGCAGGGCTGCATAAGAGGATGAGTTGGCCATGGGCTGTGGTTACCAGGTGTTTGGAAGGGGCTACACTTGGCTGTGTGGTGTGCTTTGATCTAGCAAGTGGGAGGTCTTTTGCCCCGCCCCTTGTCATTGTTTTAAAAAGCCCTTTTGAAGAGACAAAAAGGGCCATTGGGTTTTAACCCAGGTCCTCCCGAAGCTATCCTGTTTCTGTCTGTCTAATATTTTCTTTTCTCTTTTTTCTTTTTGTTTTTTTTTTTGAGAGAGGGTCTCTCTGTGTAGCTTTGGAGCCTGACCTGGAACTCACTTTGTAGACCAGGCTGGCCTTGAACTCACAGAGATCTGCCTGCCTCTTCCTCCTGAGTGCTGGGATTAAAGGCATTCACCACCACAGCGTGACTCTTATCTAATTTCTTATCCCTCTCTCCTCCTCCTAAGAACCCTTGAAGAGGTGGGAGCTGGCCTCTCCCATTACAAATTGTAATGTAAATATCTGATATGCAGGGTAGCTGACATGTGAAAGGGTCATTTGACCCCCAGGTTGAGAACTGCTGCTAGGACCTAGATCTAACTACCTGTGGACCAGCATCTTCACTTGCAAAACAAAGCAAGACTTGCTACAGTTCTCTAACACAATGAATTACAATTTTCCCCTCTTTGGTTTTCTGAGACAGGGTTTCTCTGTGTAGCTTTGCGCCTTTCCTGGAACTCACTCTGTAGCCCAGGCTACAGATCCACCTGGCTCTGCCTCCCAAGTGCTGGGATTAAAGGCGTGCACCACCACCGCCCGGCCACAAATTTTTATTGTAAGTGTTTTACTCTGTAGTCCAAGCTGGCCTTGCATTTGTGGCAGTTCTCCTGCCTCAGCCTCCTAGTGCTGAAATTACAGGCAGGAGACATCATACTTGATTGCGGACTGAATCTAGGGCATTGCATGTGCTAGGCAAGAAGACTACCATTGACTTAATTCACAGTGAGTGACCAGTTTCAAGATACTTGTATACTGATTACACTGTGAAGGAAGTTCTGGATAGAATTCAACATCTACTTGAGAAAGAAGGTATAGTCTGGGCAATCAGACTTATCAAATGTTCTTCCTCTGTATTGAAGCGAAAGGCTCATAGCACATAGAATGTAGGCCGTTGGGTTAAACTTGGGGGTACAGTTCCCACTACTTGCTCCTCTTGCCTGTTTCCTGGGAGCTGGGGAGATTAAAACAGTGACCATGGTGTCTAACCTTGTGTCATATGGAACAAATTGTACTTTTGTGCTAGCTCTGTCTCCCAGAGGAAACAACCTCCATATTGAAGTCCAGGCAGACTGTCAGTCCACAGGACATTAGATGTCAGGCTGGAGCTGGAGAGACGCTCAGTGGTTACAGAACTTCAGAACCAGCTGCCCTTCCAGAGGACCCAGGGTCAGCTCCTAGCACTCACGCGACAGCTCACTGTCTGTGATTCTAGTTGCACAGGAACCAACACTCTCCTCTGGCTTCCTTGGGTACTAGGAACACAACTTGTGCACATACATATACGCAGGCAAATATTCATACATATAAAAATAAATCTTTTTTTTTTTTTTCTTTTTCAAGACAGGGTTTCTCTGTGTAGCCTTGGTGTTCTGGAACTCACTCTGTAGACCAGGCTGTCCTCAAACTCACAGAGATCCACCTGGCTCTGCCTCCCAAGTGCTGGGATTAAAGGTGTGCGCCACCACTGCCCAGCTAATACATCTTTTTTTATAATCAAATTCAATAGAAAAACTGAGAAATCAAATAGAAAAATTAGATGTTGCTATTATGAGCTCAGCACTGCTAGGAGCTCTGTGCTGAGGCTGTTTCCTGTGCCCAAGTACTTACTGGGTACCTGAGGTCTAGCCTTGTCCAAAAAGCCTTAAAACTAAAGATCCCAAAGTATGAGGATGACTAGTCTGGAATGATGTCATGTGAGGAGGAAAAGGCCTTATTCATATTTATTTAAAATCACCTCTATTTTATGAACAGTGGCTGACAGGGCAAGTTAGAACATTCAGATCCCATCCAAACATTCATGATAGAACAGCAGTTGTCACTGAGGAGAGCACCATAGTACAGATAACATTATTACACTAGATAGTGCAAGTGCAGCGTGCCCCGAAAACCATGTAGTCAGTCCAAATTGTCCTGCAGACACAAGACATCATCAATAGCAACAATCCATGTGAAGTTCTCAAAACTTCAATAGCGTGAAGGTTATCTCCTTCCCTGGCCTGAGGATTCTGTGGAAGACTCCGATGAACTCCCTGGGGTTAGTATCGCTTCTAGTACTTCAGACCAGAGGTAGGCGATCAGCATCAGAACACACAGTAAAAGGATAAGAAATATAGGGACCACGAGCATCACTACCTTCATGTTTATGTCATCCTCGTCTGACCTCAGCTTTCCACGGTCACCAAATGTAAAGATACTCAAGTTTCGATTATCTGGCTTCCCAACAGGACCACTGTCCACACTTCCCCCATTCCCTGGGCTGCTGCAGTCAGGAGGAGCAAAACCGTCATCGCAATGACAGTGCCTGAAGTTGTTGCACACGCCTTTCCCATGACACATTTTCTCTGGTTCACAGTCGTACTGGAGCACCGTGTGATCAGTGCAATAGTAATCCATGCAGACTTTGTTTGGGGCACAGTAAGTGCCACCCTGCACATCTCCAAAATCAGGGACATCAGTAGTGTTATAGGCATCCATGCTCCAGCACCAGTCATCTCCATAAGGAACCTGGAGGAGTGTATGTAGGGGTTTGACTTGAGGCAAGTAACTAACATCTGTACATACTAGTTTCCCACAAAATACATCCTCATCGGAACATGTTTCGTACCCTAAGTTAGCCTCGGTGTGATAGCCACAGTTTCCAAAGCGGTTCCCCTTGGTGTTCATTAAAATGTAACAGTCGTCGGGGGCTGATCTTGCAGGATACCCATATATCTTTGTGCACTGCTTATCAGGGTTCTTACACCAACCCTCAGAGCAGTAATAAATCCTATCACACAGTGTGCCATCCTGTTTGTAGCTGTCTGCAGGGCATTCGTGAGAACTGCCGTCACAGTACTCAGGCAGGTCACACACATCCTCAACAGGACGACACAAGACCCCTTTCTTTCTGAAGTTACATTTGTAGCAGCAGAGTCCATCACTACACTGTGCACCGTCCTTCAGTGTACATGTTGCCTCACAGCATGGGTGATGGTCACAAGCAGAACCACAGTCACACTCCTCGGGCTCCTCCACCACACCGTTTCCACAACGGGCAGCTCTCTGCTTGCGGCTTTGGCGCCAAGGCTTGTCAAGCAGACAGGCCCCTCTGTGGTCATGGAGGAAACGGTAGAAGTCGTCAGAGCTGCAGTTGCTGAAGCCACTGTCCTTGGTGATATTCTCGTGCATGAGACAGAAGTGCTTAGGGTCACAGCCGCAGGCCGGGTGGTCGTGATGGATACCCAGGTTGTGTCCCAGCTCATGGGCCATGAGCGCTGCAAACAGCAGGACATCTTCATGATGGAAGGCTTCCACAGCTGCTGCAAACACGTCTGAACAGGCACCGTCGAGAAACGCCTGGCCCTCATTCTGTCCTGGGTGATGCCCGACGATCAAGTGTGCGACATCGTGCCTGGCCCGGTCCACGAGCTTCTCCTGTCTCCAGCGGTTGAAATTCCTCAGTGTAGCCTGCAGGTCCACCGGGACCTCTATCGGGTCCCCCTCTGTCCAGATTTCCATGCCCACTAACACCACCTCTGTGTTTAGTCCCCTAGTGAAGCTGTTGGCCAGAGCAATGATGTCCACTACTGCCTGGACCGTCTTGTTGACGTTGCTGCCCCACATCTGGAACCGCTGGTGGTTGACCACAGCAAACATCTCCACATACTTGGTGTGTGACCACAAGTCAGACAGCTCCTGCAGGTCATCGGGCTTCTTCCTGCTCCCGCGCTGCTGCCTGGTGTCCCCTGGGCTGTCTTGGGGAGTGACACTGCAGGAGACCTGAGGCTGATGTGCCACGGTGTACAGGATGTGTTCGAACCCTTTGGAAGAGAGCACGGGCTCGATGCTGTAGGAGGTTTCCTCCTTAATCAGGACGCCCCTGAGGCCTGAACAGATGTTGACGGAAACAAAGGAGCCCGGCACCCCTTCCATGTAGCCTTCATAGTGGCAGTCCTGTGAGAGGAGCGGCATCTCTTGCCCCAGGAGGCCATTGTGGTAACTGTAGACTGGGAAGATATTCACGGAGTGGTCTCCCTTTACCTTCAGGTGAAGCAGCTGCTGCTGGCCCTGCATCAGCAGCATGTAGGACGCCCTCCCTCCGGGAACTTCACTCCCCTGGACTGGCAATCTCTTGGGGATGACCGTCTCATAGGAAGAGTAATATACAGGTCCTGTGTCACAGAATGAACTTGGGAGAAAAATTAGTAGCACCAAGATCCCTACTCTGACAGATGGGTGCCCTGGCACTAGTCTCAGCCCCAAGGTCAACTGCTGGGCAGCCCAGATGTGAGGTGTTATCTTAGCTTCCTTTAAGGGCACTTGCGTTATCTGCAGAGAAGACAGAATGGAGGCAATCCCTCGCACTGATGCTGCCGCTGACATGGCCCCAAGAAACCGTTGGTAATGTAGGATCTCTGTCCATCGGTGGCAGACCTCCCCGATAGGCAGGTCTTTCCCTGACTCTGATCTGTGCTTGTCCCTTATGGGGTGCTGTCCATCTTGATTCCTACAGCCTTCGGCTGCCTCTCTCTGTTCTTCTCCTGGGCCTCAGTGGTTATATACAGCATAGGGACTCCTTTCAAGGGGAAGAGCTTCAGTGTTGCTTACGTTCCTTTGACGTTCATTGAGGTGAGCCCTGCAGTCTGCAATGGCTCAGCCAGTTCTGTAAGTCAGATCACCTTTCATCCTCCCCAGACTGTGGATAGGACATCTGTTAACCTGTTCATTCAGGCCCAACATTCTGGCAGGGCTGCGGGGGAGGGGTCAGAGTGTCTCGGGGTTCTCTGAACAATGAAGAGTTCTCTGTTGTCCTGCCCTTCCTCATCCTTACAGTGGTCATGCTCACTGATGGTTAGTTCTCTTTCATTTATCCGTGAGTGCTCTATTCCTTTGATTCAGGCCAACAGTATTCGGATGTTCTACTTTCCTTGTCCTTTGTGTGTACCCAGTGAATTTTGACATTTTATATCTGCTTCAAACCTGACCCTCCTCGAGGGACTGCTTCTAAGGCATATGTGTTCAATGATCTTTTTTTTTAACCACAGAAATATATTAGAGCCTGGAATCTAAGTTAATCCTCCCAATGGCCTCATCACAAAAAGAAAAGGGGTAAACAGACGGTGACTCTCTTTTCAACAGTGAGCAAAATGAAAAGGCAATCTGGAAAAACCCTTCAATTCCACACTGGTCTCTGACTACGGGGGCTTGTATTGTCTGTGTAAATGCCATGCTTGAGTTTCACGATAATGTTCTTGGTGTATTTAACACTATGCATTTAGAAGGATACAGAACGCCGGGCGGTGGTGGCGCATGCCTTTAATCCCAGCACTCGGGAGGCAGAGGCAGGCGGATCTCTGTGAGTTCGAGGCCGGCCTGGTCTACAAAGTGAGTTCCAGGAAAGGCGCAAAACTACAGAGAAACCCTGTCTTGAAAAACCAAAGGGAAAAAAAAAGGATACAGAAGTGTGCGTGTGTGTACACATCCCTTCCCCCATGTCTTCACTCCCCTGCATATTCTAAGGTGAAGAGAAAACGACATCTTGTCCATGGCCTAAAAGTCATTGAAAACTGTAAGTCAAATATTTATAACATACAGGGTATAACTACATGTAACACGTGAAAATGGAGAAATACCCTGCTTGTTTCAGGAGGTGGTCGACCCCTGAATCTCAACACTTAGGAGGCAGAGACAGGAAGATCACAAGTTCAAGGCCAGCGTGCTCTCCGAATGAGTTCTGAGCTAGCCAGGGATACAAACCAAGACCTTGTCTCAAAAAAAAAAAAAAGGCACCATCTTAGATATCAAGAGTAACCCATCGCGATGCCTGCCCTCAGCGATGCCTAGCTCCTATCAGATGGCCTCAGGATCCGGCAAGAAAAGGCACACTCACTGCTCGCGCTGACTTGAGAACTGACAGGAAAGTGAGTGGGTCCTCGGCTGCACTGCCTATGTGACTCAGAACCTCTTCCGAGTACCTGTTCTGGCCATGATCCAAGTACTCCACTGCTTCCCTGTGTGAGAGCTACCAAACACAAGAAAGGGCAAGTCACGAGGTGAACCAAGGATCAGTAATGGAAGAACAGTCTTCTTTCTGAATTTAAAAATATGTAATCATAATGAAATATCCAATTTTCCAGTTCCCAAATTGAAACATACATCCTGACACACAAGAGCTAATTAAAAATCTTTCGACTTCTTCACCAACGATACATTCTATTCTTTCAAGTTGTTCATTCTCACATGTGTAAAGAGCATAATTCTCGGAAGAACAAAGCAAGCCTTAAGATGACGTTTCAAAAAAAAAAAAAAAAATTTCTGCTGGGCGGTGGTGGCACACACCTTTAATCCCAGCACTCGGGAGGCAGAGGCAGGCAGATCGGTGTTAGTTTGAGGCCAGCCTGGGCTACAAAGTGAGTTCCAGGACAGCTTTTGACTGTTAGAGAAACCTTGTCTTGAAAAACCCAAAATAAATAAGGAAATGAATACATTTCTGAGAGGCATTTTCCTGTGGCCACACAGTGTATGAGCCAGAAAGACACTGCTCTCCAGTGAGCAGATGTAACTGTGGTAAGACATTCTCCATCTGAGTGACAAGCAATGGTCTTACTGAGCAGGGTCAGGGATGATGTAGCAAGCTGGAGACTGTCATTGCCTGACAGGAGCTGTTCCTGTAATGTTTCCACAGATATCAGGCAATAAATTACCAAGAAAAGGTTTAACTTCCAGCTAGGTGTAGATTTTGTATTACTAGCAAAACTGACTCATGTTAAAACATAATTTACCACTGGCCTAGGAATATACAAAGGAAACTCAGCTCTAGTGCAGAGTCTCTTGGGAACTGCTGTTTGGGAGAATTTTGTCTAGGGTCGGACTGACTTTTGAGTGACAACAGGGGCATCTCTATGGTTTTTACAGACATCCAACGTGTCTCATCTGGACAAACATAGATATGGATTTCATTATGGCATTAGGTGAATTCAGCCTGAAGCCACTGAAACATAGGCAAGCCATGCTCAGACAAAAGCAACCGTCAAGATGTATGTTCTTTCCAGTCCCGTCCACAATTCACCACACTGAGGGGGGAAAAACATCCTAAGCTTTCAGAAGTCGCCCAGATGATAAATTTCTAAGATAATTAGTAGAGTCAGTGTGCCAGCATGTTCCTCTAAAGAAAAGACTAACAACTAACTTCTGTCTCCACGGGAACACTGGACAGGTGTGCTGGATGCCTTTGGACACTCAAGAGCAAGTAGTCTCCCTGATGATTTGGAACAGGTTCACTGAAGAACAACATGCCCTTATGCCAACTCTCAGCTACATCTTTCTGGCCAGAAATTTTGCTTAAAATTGTCTCTGATGCCTAACCCCGAGATCTGGCTATCCTGGGAAGTATCCCCACTTCTCACCACAGCACCAGCCATGCAGGAGCAAGGATGTGCTTCCCACTGCAGTCTCCAAGGACACTGCTGCCTTTATCACAGCCCTAGTCAGTGACGTCCTCCTGAACACTGAAGACGCTCAGAAGCTAGAAAATAACAAAACCCCATGGAATCCATTTTTTTTTTTTTTTTTTTTTTTTGGTTTTTCGAGACAGGGTTTCTCCGTGTAGCTTTGCGCCTTTCCTGGAACTCACTTGGTAGCCCAGGCTGGCCTCGAACTCACAGAGATCCGCCTGGCTCTGCCTCCCGAGTGCTGGGATTAAAGGCGTGCGCCACCACCGCCCGGCGGAATCCATTTTGATGGAAGAGGATGAGACAAAACTGAATGACTGAGATGGAGGACTTGTCCTACCTGTGAGCTCCTCTGGGTGCCAGCAAAGGCAATCACCCAAAACAGCTCTAAAAGCTACCACTACCACAGGGGCTGGGTGGGCCTATGTACAAAACAGTAACAAAGCAAAACATGCTTTCTGGGCCATAATTATGCTTCCTGAGATTGAAGGATACTGAAGGAAGTACACGCAGCCAGGAGGAGGTCAGTAAATCTAGGCAGAACCACTACTTATGGACAGCCTTAAGAAAAACAACTAAGCCGGGCGGGCTCCTTTACCTGCCCCAAACAAATGTCGTTAATACTTCATTATAAAGAAACTGGTCTTTCTTGACAGTGTCCTCTTACAAGACTCAACTATCCTATGTGGGTAAGGACAGGAAGTGAGCTTTCTTTTCTTTTCTTTTTTTTTTTTTAAAGGAAAACAGTTAAGTGTTAGGAAACTCTGAACCTAAATCTATATAGCAACATTAAGCAACGAGGAAATGAAATTATGATTTATTAATTTACATAAAAATTACTTTTTACATTAAGGACTAATTTCTCCGATTGTTAAAAACAGTTTGAAGCTTTTACTACTGGGGCTCATGGGGACCGGTCTGCTCTTCGATCACTTGCTTCACAACCTCTGCCAGCTTCAGTCGGTCTACTTTATCTGTGAATCCACGACCTGGAACTCAAGAGAGAACGAGGTCAGTTTCCAACTCTTCACATGGCCAGAGGCAGCAGCATACTTCACCAGCCAGAATTGGCCCACTGTCCAGAAGCAGTTCAGATCCTCCATTTTCAAGCAGCGACTGAGTAGTTTCACAAGCCACAAAACCAGAGATCACTGGTACAACCGACAAGGCACTCAGACCCAAGTACATAAAAACTCCTAGAAGCCAGCCTGGGCATGGTGGCGTACACCTTTAATCCCAGCACTTGGGAGGCAGAGGTAGGCCAATCTCTGTGAGTTCGAAGCCAACCTGGTCTACAGAGTGAGATCCAGGACAGCCAGAGCTACACAGAGAAACCCTGTCTTGAAAAAACAAAACAGCCAGGCGGCAGTGGCGCCCGCCTTTAATCCCAGCACTCGGGAGGCAGAGCCAGGCGGATCTCTGTGAGTTTGAGGCCAGCCTGGTCTACCAAGTGAGTTCCAGGAAAGGCGCAAAGCTACACAGAGAAACCCTGTCTCGAAAAACCAAAAAAAAAAAAAAAAGAAAGAAAGAAAGAAAGAAAAAAACAAACAAAACCCCCCCCTAAATGTATATAAGAAAGTTACAACTGGGTAGAAAGACAAGGAAACCGAAGTGGTCAGTAGGCATCTAATCATGGTAAGCACGGTCACCAGGCTGATGCCAACCAAATGCACCCCGTAGTCAGTGACACTACAGAATCCGCACAGTCTGAAGAAGCAGCAGCCAAGCTGGTGCATCTGCAGATGCTCAGAGCCTCAGAGCACCTCAGTGAGCATTCCTGAACCCATTCAACTGCTTTCAAAACATGGACCGTGCCTGCTCAGAACTAGTTAATCCAAGCCTAGGAGGTAAGAAACTATTTCACAAGCTGTTCATCAGGACACAGAAAAGTGTTCCCAACAGCCCTTTCCTTGTTTATCAAAACAAACTAAATGTCCACTCAGTGGTGAGTGGACAGTAGTATATCATGAGAACGTAGATGGAACTCACAAATACAATACTGACTAAAAGAAGCCAGAGACAAAAGAACACAGACCTATCTGGTTTTGTTTATACAGAATACAGAACTTGGGTCAGGAGGACTGGCTCAGTGGTTAAGAGCACTTGCTGTTCTTGCAGAGGACCTGGGTTGTTTCCAGCACCACATGGTGGCTCACAATCACCTGTAACTGGAGCTCCAGGGACACTGACCTCCCCTTGTGACCTGTGCAGACACTAGCACACATGTGCTAACACAGACATACATGCAAACACACACACACACATAAAATCAAAAAAACAAACCCCCTGCAGACTACAGAACTAAGAGTCAGGGTTGGAACGGCCTTTGAGTGGAGGGCTGGATGGAGACGACTACATTTCTACTGTGATGGAGGTGTGGATACACAGCAGTGTTCGCACTCTGAACACTCAAAGTACACACTCTGTACAGACCCATCACACAGTTCACGTTTTAAAACAAATCCCCTATGAAGTGACTGTTCAGGTGTGGGGTGGCCAGGCCCATTCAGGAAACATAAGGGGACAGAGTCAAAGCACGCCCCCTCTGTTCCCTAGACACTGGAGCGGGTCTGATACAGTCAGCTGGAGATAAATTGCCATCCCAGGCTGCGGAGAGCAGAGCAGGGAAGAGGTTCCGCTCCACCTTGTTCTCCTGGGGAAGAAGTTTGCCCAGTGGCAGATCTGGGAACCCTTCTCAGTCAAATGACTCTGAGCTTAACAGATGGTTCTGGAAAACTTTCTGGTACTCTCCGACTGCATAGTGTTGTTCCTTGATCACCTGGTCAACAGCCCAGGAATGTGGGGCATGAATCTGGTTTTGTTTTGTCTTTGAAATATTTGACAGAGCTCTCCAGTGTTCATTCTGTAACCCACAATGCATTCTCTAGAAAACAGGTGCAAGGAGCAGACAGCAGACACGCCTGGGCAGGTAAAGGGGGCCTGGCACGCCTGGGCAGGTAAAGCGGGGCCTGGCACGCCTGGGCAGGTAAAGGGGGCCTGGCACGCCTGGGCAGGTAAAGCGGGGCCTGCCCCCGGAGCCCCTTCTCTTTACACACCATCCTCACCTGGCTCTGGCCTCAAAGAGCCCATCTGTGTCTAAGGGACAGGAGCTGCTGCATCTTACCATTCCAGCTGAAGCTCTGCAGAGCGTCCCTCAGGAGCTTGCACTCCCGGTTGTACTTCCAGGCTTCCTGCATTACTTCATTCAGTCTCTCATCTTCATTCTCTCCTATGGGCAAGAAAGGAGAGGAAGTTTCCATTTTTATGTAGCATCACGGGATTTTAGCGTCAGAAATGGAAGGACGTGATGACCAACGAGTTGAGAAAAGTATGACACAACACGCATGATTTGCTAGACACTGGCTTCCTGTGGATCCTGGTGCCCCAGGTGACCCTCTGGTCACTGAGCTCTTCTAAGTTTGGATCTTCACCCGTGTGCTCTGACAAGCCCAAGGCTGAGTGCTGGGAGTCAGAGAAATGTGAGAATGTCTCTGAACAAAAACACCTAGCCAAGAGAGAGGAAGAGCAAGGCTGTGTGTGCTACTCTCTTCCTATACTCATCCCCAGGCATGTTCCCAGAGTGCTCTTAAATGGCAAAGGATTTAGGAAGACACGTTAATCTATCTTTTTCTGATCCCACCTAATATGAAGCTTCATTCATTAGCTGAGAACAGCGGCTCACATCCCCGCCATCTGAACAGGGAGGCTCTTGGGATGGGGCTACGTCCTGTAAAGGCAGTGAAGCCCAGGGCTGGAGGCTGCAGCAGGGCCAGCTGTGAGCTTGTGCAGCGTCCTTATCACAGATGCACGGTGCTGCACTGTGAGGGTCCTAGAAATGGTGTTGATGGCCTCTAACCAATACCTAGACCTTGTCCACATTTCCATTCTTCACCCGCTACTTTGTGCCTTCATTGCAAAACTCGGACAACACAAATCACATGCCATACCTGGTACTGGCAGATAGCTTGAACTGAGAACTTCACAGAAAACCAAAGACACAAACTTACCATGTGTCTGCACTTGGCACTGTCTATACTTCCTAGTGGATGTGGACTCCCTCATATACTGTACTTAGTGCAAGAGACAAAGAGACCATCACAAATTATCTGCTCCTGTCACATGCACACCCATGTGCACACACACACATACACACACACACACACACACACACACACACACACACATGCGCGCAGAACATTAGTAAGTGGCATGACCTTTACCAGCCTGGGGGAGGATACACTGGGCAATGACATCTCGAAGCTTTTCCAAGGCAACATTTGAATCCTCAGCTCCATTCTCATGGTCGTGTATATAAATACCATCCTTTGGCTTGGTGCTTTACAAGCGTGGGGAAAGATAATAGCAAGGTAAGACCTCAGAACCCAGCTCCAAATGCAAGATACCAGAACGTTCAGAAAAAGTAACTAGAGTGTGTCCACCTTCTGAGGCCACTTAAAAACTTCATACTATCTACCCTCTGCAGAAAGAGGGCAGACCCCTGGCTGAATTCCCAGCACTCACCACTCAACCATGCCTACTCTGAAGATCAAAGAAATAAGCTCACTTACCCAAGTAACTTCCTCTTTCTCAGGATGGGGTTGTTCACGGAGTGTAGGGGTTTGAGGCTAACCTTGAGGTCCTGGATCCTCATGTTGGCCAGCTGCTCGGCATGAGCCTGCTGGATCCCCGCGACCACTGCCTGCACGTAAACACTATCATCAGTTCCCCTGGCCTGCTGGATCCCCGCGACCACTGCCTGCATGTAAACACTATCATCGGTTCCCCCGGCCTTCTGGATCCCCGCGACCACTGCCTGCACGTAAACACTATCATCGGTTCCCCGGCATTCTGGCTGTTGACCACTTTTGGCTATGTTGCCCATGCTCATCCTGAACTCTAGGATTCGTGTAATCTGCCAACCCAAGCTCCCTAGTGAGCACTGGGAGTGGTGTACCACTGTGCCTGGCTCTGCCAGCTTTTTCCTTCCACATTTGTTACTCGACACTAAAAAGCCAATCCAAGACAAAGGAGTCCATAAAGTATGTTGATGGCATACCAATTTTCAGGCAGAGGATTCTCCCCCTGGATCAGTGAGG